CCCCCCCCCCCCCGAATAAGCGGCTTCAGCGAATTTTGAAAGACTACTACATCCCAACAGATGCTCAGCTTGATGACTTAATTAGCCTTGTGTATCTTAAGATGGCTAAACCCGAATTTTCTAGTTTTACTTTTAGTTCAATAAAAATATACAACAATGTAGCATCTACAACAACTCTGCTTTATTCATTTTTATTAATAACGCTTCCATCCAAATTATTATTAATAATCGATGAACATACCGCGTGATCCCAAACCTCACTTATTCCTAGAGATAAAAAACTCCGCTAGAAAATTGTCCAAGGTAATTTTGTCATCCTACATGATGGCTCCCTCTGTCGGTCCTGGAATAGCTCGGACGGTTCGGGAATCCCAGAGACGTGAATGAACGCGTTAGGTTTGTACATTTATTATTGTGTGAAGTATCGCATGGCAGATGAGGGAATAGTGGAGGGTAAAAACAAAGTTGTGACCAGTGTTGCCACCTTTGTAGCAGCACTTTGTACTAAAAATTCCCTTTTAGCCACCAAAATGCCCTTTAAGAGGCTACTGCAGCGAGCTAATTTTGTTGTTAGCAACTAAGAAAAAAGTTGTGGTTGTGACCAAGGTCCGTAAAGCGTGTTGTACAAGATTGGCCAGACAAAGGATTTCAACGTATGAAAGGTGAACCCCCCTGAGATGCCCTACTCGTGACGTCACGTGGACGCCGACATTTTAAGAGAAAAGTATTCTATATTTATGTATACCTTTGTTATTTTGTCACTGACAAAGGTACAGCAGGTCAGAAAATTGCATAGTAGAAGGGTATTTTTCTTATTTGCGCATTTATCAGCCCCGCATTAACCTTGCCGTGTGGCCGGTCGCTTTTGCCTACAGTGGTCACTGTTGGTTGCCTAACCTATTGACATCACTCTTTTACACGGGAACTATGCTGAACGCTCAGACCAGTTAATAATCATGTCACTGGGTTAAGACAAGTAGCTGAATGCTTTTATCAGTTGGAAAGTAATTTTGAAACAGCCCGTTCCTGAAGCCCTTTGCTTAACCAAGAGGAAAGGTAAGTAAAAAACTGTTCAGATAAGAGAAAGCAAATGGGATTAAATCCAATCCATTTTACTCCAAATATTCTAGATCCAAATTTCAATGGAATTCTGTTCATCTTAACAGAGAATAAATACAAGTAACAGCTTATGGACAATATGGCTACTATGACAAGCCCAGATGAATCTGCAGAGGTAATGGTAGAATTGGCCCTTTATCAATCTAAAAGGGTTATTTGTAAAAAAATGTATGTTTTAAAATCCTTCCTATCCTTCTATCTATTTTATTGCTTATAATTTAAAATTATTAGATTCATGTGATACCACCTAGTCATAGTTCTGCCACCAATGTGGAGGTTAATGAAGGCAATGAAGTGATTAAATGCAGTGATTTGGAAACTTTGCCAGAGTTGTCTGAAAATTCATTATATTCTAACTAATAATTGTTTAAAATTTTTCTTAGAATAATATTTGCTTTTTGTTGTTTTTTTTTTGTTATTTGTTTCTAAGAATAAATTATTTTTTACGCCTAATATATTCTAAACATCATAAATTAGTCCTCCATAGTAATTAATCCCATAAATATGAACCTTACCATGATACAGCTGTCAAACTAAATTTTCCAAGCTTGTTCTCAGAAAATTCTCAAAATCAAGAATATTCTATTTGTTCTTTTATCTCTACTTATCCCATTAAGCCTTAACTTCGCCATCCGCGGTATATTTAACTGAACCCTCGCGGATACGGGGAGTTTACTGTATAACATAATAAAATTATCTTACTTAAAAAATGAAAAATGCTGTTCTAATAAAAATCTGGAATTACACTGTGACAGTTCCGGCCAATGCGATAAGATGTTTCTTAGATATTTTTGAAGACGTTTGCGTCTACCTTCCACTAAATTTGCGTCCTAAAAGTGGCTTTGTAATTACGAAACTTTATTATCAACATCATACCTTTTTGCCTATACTCTTTTTTGGTGGAAAATCAAACGTTGAAACAGCTGGATCTAATTTTTTTAAATCAGTGTGTAAAGCATAAAATTGAGCATATCTTCTATAAATATTCCATTCATCTCGACCAGCTCTCAAAAAAATTTGATAAACATGATGGGAAGTTGAACCACTACCTGAAAAATAATTGATGAATAAATTAAAATTTTTCAATTAATTCAAGTGTCTATTTCAACCTGTTAGAAACGCTGATGGTATCCAAACATTGACGACACGTCTAGAATCATCATCTTCATCCAAAATTCCAACAGGTCCTCTTATTTCTTCCAATTCATCGCTCAACCTATCGATAATCCTATCTTTAGCACATAATTTCTTTTGTAAAATCACATTAAAATCGATTAATTCAGCGTGCATTTCAGCTACTTGAACCAATTTAGTTTCAAAAATTTTCGCTTCCTTCCTATAATCTGGGTTGAGATTCTGTGTGGAAACATTTTCATCAATTACAGCATTTTCTTGTTTCAATAATTGAACTGCACTGATGTATTTCTTTAATTGTTCTCGTAAATTTTCATTTTCTATGGTTAAATTCCCAATTTTCTCATTTAACCTAACTATATCTAAATTTTTTCTTTCAATTTCAGTAAAAACGTTACTTATATCAATTGGATCATCGGGAGATTCAGGGTTTTTATTTGAAATCGGTGTCAATTCACCAATATTCGCTTGTGTTAAAGGAGTTAAAGGTCCTTCTAAACTAGTAAAACTAAATTTATCTCTCGACCCACTCGTTTCTATACTTAATTTACGCCTAATTTGTTGTTTTTCGTTGTTATCTGGTGGCTTTTTATCAATTTCCGTTGGTAAAGTATCTGAAGTTATAGAACTGGAACTGGAAGGAACGCTTGAAGATAATGATAAAGAAGTGGTTTCATCATCATCAAACGAAATTATCTGTTTTGGTATTTTGCGTTTTTTCTTTTGGGTGTTTTCTACATTTCAAATAAACAAATTTTGATCAATTGAAGTTAATTAATTATGATTAAGAGTGGAATTAACCTGGAATTGGGGCATCAATAATCGGTTCAGCCATCGATTTTAATTTATCCATTTTTTCCATCGCATTACCACAATTAAATTCCGATTTATCTATACTTATAGCAAATAAAATCGAACCTAAACCTTAAAATTAATTAAAAATATATTAATTTTATAATTAAATTGAAAAAAAAATAATTTTTAAGTTGGCATTCTGAAATTTGGCACTAGTTGTCAAAATTGTCAATTTTCAAATGTCACTTCATTAATCCTTAAATAAAGAGAGTAAGTATATTAATTATTTACCTGCAGCCATATTTGGCAATAAACTGCTTTGTTCTTCATTATATAATAAAGCCCAATCCTCATAATAAATTTTTAATAATTCCTTGTTGTTTACCAACGACTGAAGATACCGTTCCAAAGATTTTTCATTTAAAGCTGATCGAATCCAAGCTTTTCCTCGACCTGTATCGGTCCAAATTTGTTTTAAAATCGCGTAACGTTCGTTTTCGTGCTTAGTTAAGTGTTTTGAAACAAACGGCCAAAAAGCTATAAAAGTTAAAAATTTATTAAAAAAAAAACTTGAGGTGTAATTAAAATAAACTTACATATATTGTCATTATTTAAATGTAAACTGTTACTAACGATATCAGATACTTGTTTTAGCGTCGAAATTTGTTGAACAACTAATGGTTTGTTTCTTAATCCATGTAATAAAACAGATTCTAATGTTAAACATAAAGCGGCTACGCAGCTATCGTACTCGGTGGCTAATTCTTTTTTACCACCGTATCTAGTTTGGCACTTTTTTACACAATCTAATAACTGTTGAATCAATTTCCCCGATTCTTCCGTTTTTTGAGGAGCCACTGAAGACGAAATTACCGTTGACATCAGTTTTAATGACTAATACAAAAAACAAGGTGCTAGAGAAAGTTGTTTTTATTCTTTTAATCCGGAGATGATTTGAAGCGTTTTTAGGTTAGACTTACCATAATTCACAGACGATAAACAGTGTGGAACATTTTAAAACAGTTTTCAATCGATTGGGAGTTAATACTGTTATTTGTTTCTAATAAAAAACGGGAACAAAACGATCAGTTTACACATAGTTTAGTTAGATACTGTAAACGATATTCGTTTCACAATTTGATATAAAATGCGCAATCGCGAATGAGAAAAGAATAAAGAGAATTATATAGGTGCCCTTCACGGAGGCCTTGAGAAGGTTTTGAGTTTAAGTAGCACGTGTAGTACTATCAAGTAGACAAATAAATACGAAATCTTTGTTATTACTGATTATCATAATAAATAATGAAATATTTGTATAAATTAATAAAAAATGGAATTTGGGTTGAGTGCAAGTTTTATTATTAGTTATTATGATATAAATGGTCTGGTATAAGACCATTTATATCATAAAAAAATATTTATTAATATTGTAAAAATAGTCCGAGAAATAAAGGTTAAAATTTTAAAATATTTGTCACTTTTTAACTCTTGAAATTGACGTTTAAAAAAGTGTCAAAAAATTTTTATTTTATTTTCCAGAACCCTACTTTACCTACATTAATACATCAAAATGACAGCTGAGAAAATGTGGTTATGTTTTAGTCACAGATTACCAAGGTTTATAGAACATAAGGTTACCTCATTCCCTATGCCTCTGTAGTATCGATTATTACCCCGCAAATTGACGTCACTGGTTCGATACAGTCAGAATAAAAGATAGCCTATACATGTGCCTATACGTGACAACACGATGCGAGGTTTAAATATTTTATATAGACTGTACCACAGTATAGGTGGTGTTGTGTTGTTCATAGAACCAGCTACGTCACTGACCCACCTTGCCTCTCAGAGGAGGAGAATCGGTATTGGGTAACCTTATGTTCTATAGACCTTGACAGATTACCAGATGCTTAACTTATACCGCTCTCATTTGGACCTCATATTCTATCTCTCTCCAGAGAATTGAAACTGTGTAGATGGCGGTAGTGTAGTCGATCGATAAATACGAGCGGGGAATTTGAATGCTCGTTTAAATAAAAATCTCATTACTTTTTAAATTTTTTTTTAATAATAAGTTCCAAAAAATCAAAAATTGTCATCTCAAAACTTGAACAAGTTTTAAGATGAAAACACTGATTTTTTGAACTTGTTATTAAAAAAAACTAATAAAATATTATTAAATAAAAATGCAAACTTCAGAAGAAGAAATCTATGTATATTTATAGACAAAAATTTACAACTATAAATTTTTAAATGTTTTCATGGCACATGGGTGCGTTTTTGTACAATGGTAAAGCATTTGCTTCAAGGCTAGAGGAAAACCCATGAAAAACTCTAGCATACCATAAGTCAAATAAACTTCTAGACAAATTTAGGAATACAAATTGTTATTGCAAACAACAGATTTAAGACAGCCAGAATAAAAAAATACTACAGAGCAACTAAAATTACAAGTATTACAGCGAAAATGAGCAGTACACAGTATTAGTGATAAAATGTTTTAGTTATAAAATAATTATTGTTTCCGAATTAACAATTGATATAAAACTTTAATATTTCTTTTTATTTGTTTCTGTTCCTATCAATTGAAATGTAAAAATATTTGAAACTTAATTAATGCCTTATTATTATTACTATAACTTAAAGTTAATCTTAAATTAAAGTGAGCAAAACAATAACAAACCTAGCAAAATTTATCAGAATTAAGACAAAACGAAAAGGAACAAGATTCATGTAACATGTTTTAGTCTTAGTCATAGTTTTAAGTTAGTTCTTAGTTCATCATTTATCATAATCATGGTTTGCATTGCTTTAATTATGATCACAACTAAGACTTAAACATATTGCCTCAATTTGTGATTAGATAATTGGAAAGTAAACATTATTACCTTTAAAAACCTGAGTAAAATATTCTGGTTTGTTTAACATATCTCTCAGTAATGTGGTTTTATTTTCATAATTCTTCTTAAGTTTCTGTGTCGGTTTCTCTTTGTTCTTTAAAATTCCTATTCAACATAAAACTTTCCATTGTAAAATGATTATTGCAAGTTGTCATTCGGCTAGAATATATGTTTTCTACAGGAACACCAAGGCACTCATTCCATGATCGCTGTCTAAAATATCAAAGTAAATTTTCATTTAGTACAAAAAATCTATCTAACTTAAATTTATAAATGTACTGATTGATATTTAATGGAAATCAAAATACCTTGACCACTTCCTCTACCGAACGTCCGCAAATGTAGCAAATCCTATCCATTTTGGTCCTTACCACCAAAAACCAACTAATTCTAAGATAACAAAGTATGACAATAAAACTAAGGAAAACTAAATTATACAAACAAATAAACTACTAAACAAATCTATAATCAAACGATATAGATTTGTTTAGTAGTTTAAATAATCAAACGATAAACACGCAAAACTGCACAATAATTAAACAAAACACAGAAAGTTCGTTAGTTCTGACAGAACTGGACGTAGCCGTGGGATTTACAGATTTACGACTTAAAATACATAGCGCCATCTATTGCTTTCTCTTAACTCCACGAGTTTGCGACTTAAAAATTTTGAAATAAATGGTGCCATCTATTGGTTCGTTTAAATACTACTGTAACGCGACAATTGCGCCATCTACACAGTTTCAGTTTATGTGAGAGAGAAAGTACCATACGAATTTTTCATTTGTTGAACAAGGATAGATAGGAGTGCCAATTTATTAGCCGGAGTCCGGCCTCTGTATACTCTGTGGTTTTAGTGTTTACTTTTAATATTAAATTGCAGATATGATTTTTATTTAATGCGAATGTTATTTTAGAGATATGCAGTAGTATTTTGTTGTCCCCAATACTTATTTATGTATTTGTTGATATCTTTGCAATTTTAGCTTGTGTAAACATATTTATGTATGTCAAGAATGGTAGTAGATATTTCAAATATTTTTGTTGATTTATTTAACTTAGAAGAGTAAAAGCAATAGTAGACATGTTGATTACCTCTGCAATTTACCCTGACAGCAAAAACAGTACTCGAACAGTACAAACTTTAATAATAACAGAAAATTATGCATTTGGAATAACACTAATACATTGTTGGATGCCTGTTTGCTTAACAACAGCACTTCACAAAATGAAGACTTTGTATTCCTGCTACTGAAAAACATCCCCATATCATTACCAAACTTCCACCACGTTTGAACATAGGTATCAGATTATGTGGATGTAGGCTCTTGTTTTTCTCTCACCAAATTCTACTTTATTGAGTTTAGTCTCATCTGTGAAAATTACCATTTTCCAGGTGTAAAAATCTTTATTTTGACATTTTTTGCAAATGCAAGCCGTTTTCGTTTGTTAATCATACTTATGATTTCTTACGAATGATTTTCTAACAGCATACCGCCTTTTAAAACCATGTTTTTAATATAATTTCTCGCCGTTGAAGCGCGAAATAAATTTTTCAACATCGCGGATGTACGCCAGATAAATAAATCTACACTCTGGAAATTTTTATCTTTATAGACTGGATTAAAACAATTACATTAATTAGAAGGCAGTAAATTGAAATTTAACAATTCTTTATTGTTAAGATGGATAAAATAAAAGAAATTTTTTTTTGAGAAAGTCGTGTTTATCAAAAAATACACTACAAATAATTTGCATTCCATCAATTTTGAGATTTAGAGATCGCAACTCAATGTTTTAAATTTAATTCTCATGATTCAAATGTTTAAAACATTTCAATCATTTTGATTATTAATACCAAAAGTTGTCAGGGACAGTATTTTGACAACAATGTCAGAGTCAAATGTTCCTCAACTTTTTTATAATACTCCTATTTTCTCTGATATTATTTTCACATGCGAACGTAACGATTGTTAAAGGAGATAAAATTGCTTCAAACGAACCACGTATGTAATATGTATATTCAGGCTTAAATTTTACTAATTAATTATTTTATCTATAGACATATTTGCAACCTGTGTTGAAAGTTTGGGTTGTTTAGACACGAATGAAAAATGGTATCATCCAAAGTACCGACCAGTTAATTTGGAACCACTTGACAGAAATACGATAAGAACTGAGTTTTTCTTATTCAAATCGGGATCGGGATGTAACAATACTAATAATGAAACTAAAAACGACGTTAGAAAATAATTACGTTTAAGGTCGTTTTAGATTTAGTTTAATTTTGTTTTTTTAGAAAGATATTCTGTTTGATATCATTTCAAATCAAAATCCTGATACTGCAAAAGTTGCTGGATATAAAGATTGCGGTTGTTTGAAGTTGCTCGTCCATGATTTCACGGCAAGTGGGCATGCGGGATGGATTAAAGTACTAAGTAAAATCATTTCTAGAAATGTGGCTAAGTCGAAGTAATTGTAGCATATGGCTAAAGCGTTTTTAGTTGTTAATCCTTGTAACGTCGTATCCGTTAATTGGGAGGCCGGAGCGGAACCACCGTTTGATCAAGCGATTGCAAACGCAAGAGTTGTCGCATTAGAAATTTACGCTTTCATAAGAATGTTACAGGTTGGATATATTTTGAATGTAAAAGATAACTCAGTAAGAATATTTTAGGAGCACTTTCATTTAGATGTAAAACACGAAATTCAAATCGTCGGTCATGGAGTTGGAGCTCATATAGCTGGATACGTTGGAAAAGCTTTGCAGAAAACGTTACCGAAAATAACCGGCTTAGATCCAACCGGTGCTCGATTTGAAAATATGCCACCTGTTGTAAGATTAGACGTGGATGATGCAAAGTTTGTTGAGGTACTTCATACTGATGCTTATAACTGTAAGAATATAGTTTTAAATAAGAGATCAATTTACTACTATGTTTGGTTTAAGCAAGAAGCCAAGGTACGATGCAGCCTTTAGGGAGAGTAGATTATTATTTAAATAACGCGGGCCACCAACCTGGTTGTAACGACACTTGGCAATTACCTAAATTTACGGAAGTCACAAGAGATGTGTTACAAGAAGGAAAAATTTTACCTGCTTGCAGTCATAAAAGAGCTTATAAATATTATATCAGCGCTGCTATTAATAAGGAATGCCCTTTTATCGGGATACCATGCGAATCTTACGAAAAATTCATGAATGTAAACTAAAAATGTTTTTTAAATCCGATAACATTTTAATTTTAACCATTTAATTTAGGGTAGTTGCACTGATTGTAGGAAAAGTCAATGTTTAATTATGAGATACGACTCATTTTCTAGTGATGTACCAAAAAATACTAAAGTCTTTCTAAATACAAATTCAGAACCACCTTTTTGTAGTAAGTGCAAAAAGATAAAGTTAAATTATATTAAAAAATAAGGAGTTTTTAGTGCATACGTATGAAATTGCAATTTCAGTGGAAAAACATGATAAAATGAAGAAATTGTTGGGATTCTTTGAATTTATTTTAGTAGACGAAAACAATAAAGTGTCGTTCGCGTCTCCATCTATAGATGGGTAAGAAAATTGTTTTATAGATACCCTAAAATTCTTTTTAAACACACTTTAGCACGGTGGCTAGAACATTTTTACCTGGTTTCGTTCATTACACAATTGCATACGCTCCTCCGCCAGAAATTGACAAAATCAAAGAAGCCAAAGTTAAATGGAGAAACACTAGTAAATTTAATTTAAAAAATAAATCAATTTATGTAAAATACATAACGGTTATGAGAGTTTCAGAAAAAATGAAGTAAGATTAATTAGCTTTTAATTATCATCATCTAAATCATTCAATTTTTGTTATTTTTAGCGCTCCCGTAAATGGTTTGTGTCCAGAGGAAGGACCGGAAATTAAAAATCGTGATTTCGTGCATTTCAATAAATGCGATGTTTCTAAATTTAAACACGGCGAAGTAATAGCGGGTGCTGCTGAATCGGGTTCTAATAAGACAGCGGCGGCTTCAGGGGAACGAAAAAATTATTCTAAATCTAATTCCCATGAGGGCACATCTGAATGCAGTAGTTCTGAAGAAACAAAGTATCCGACAGCTGGAACTACAAAGAGATCGAATGCGCCACTTGCCCCAACAACCACTAGTGACCCAAAATCATTAGAGAATTCAAATGATTTACCCGAATGCGAAGCAGTCGAACCTGGAAAATAAATTAATCATATTTATTAATAGGACGTGATTTATTAATATTTTATACATTTTCTTATAGCAATAAAACTATATGATAAGAATATTAAAAGATGGTTTTAGATTTTAAATTAAATTGTCCAGTTAAAATTTTACAAGAATTTTTTTAAAACAAAGCGTGATGAAGTGCTTGTACTTTAAAAGAAAGGAATCTTAGCTCTACCTTTCTTTGTGCACTCCATGGATGTAAAGGATATAGCCCTGAGTAGGCACGGAAATATGAACACTACATATTTATGCTGAGGACAAAACTTGTTAATTAATCAACAGTTAATTACAGACTGGTTATAAGACGAAATTGTGATTCAGTTTTAAACATGAAGCATGGTATATATAGTGACTTGTATTATAGCTTTACATCTTAGAATTGCTTTATCATTTGATTACAAAAAAAAAACATGAGGCATATACACTATATTTATTATACACTAATTTCACAAACTGTTTCAGTATTGTACAATTTTTTTTTATAATGACAACATAATATTCGATATACATAAATTGTATGGTATTTTCGTATAGGGTAATACGGTCCAACTTTGGCGATTCCATACGAGCGAAAATGCCATTTTGGGAATCCACGAGAATATATCAATGTGCGAATACATCGACAGATTTTTGAACGTCCCGGATTTTAAAAAAGTACCACATTGCGTTGTTACATATACAATACGTGAGGCACAGATTCTTTAAGTAGGAAAATTTCCGTTAAGTCTGCAATAGATCGCGGTAAAACGTTAACATTTCAATGAGTTTTTTTTTTGCTTTTATTGAAACAACAATTTTTTTTCAACACCAATCGGCGCTAATCAGCGCGACGAATCATCGTTCGATATGCGAAAATCGATTCTTTTTAACACATATATTTTTTTATTAAAAACACCTATATATGGAAAAAAGAAATACTTTTTGTTAACAAATTTGCGAGCGTACTCATGCGTTGTTACTGCTTTGGTTCAACAGTGATTTTTAATAAAATACAAAATATAGTTTGTAGAAATTTTGACGAGATTTCATAATATATTGTTATGTTACGTAGATGTATATCTTATATTCAGTTCTATACAAACATACGGCAATATTATGAATGTGCGAACATGATTACACGATGTCCCAAGCACCAAAAAAAAATAAGCAATAATGCAATAAGAAATAAATCAAACGTTCGTAAAATCAACAATTTCATATAATATAATATTTACACGTATATTTTCTCTGATCGTTTTATTTTCTAATCTTAATTATTGTATCTACGTTCAATTTTCGCACTACCAGTCAATACCAAACTTAAATACACTTTTAAATTAATTAAATTAAAAGATGTTTATTTGTTATTAAATGCTAGATACAAATTTAATTTTCATCTCTGAACTGATCTCTCCTTTTTCTGTTACATACATTTACGTAGGTATATGTGGGATTAACATGCTTTTACTACAACATCAGCCGTTCTACAATAATAATACAACAATCTCTATAAACCAACGCGATATCATGATAGAATCTTTAACAAAATAGGCCAAGATATGAAATGATCACACAAGGGAACTGATGATGATCGTTTTTTCGTTTCATAAAAGGTAACCTAAACTCGTAGGATACAATATTTCTCAATTTCCCTTTCATCGTAAATATAAATTAGATCTACAACTATAACCAGTTTAAAAAACAACTAATTAGTAATAACTGGTAAAGTTCTCTTTTTTAGATTTTTTTCTAAGATACTCATACATGTCCTTATGGGTCGTGAAGCTTTTTTTATTCATCTTGCTTTCGAAATATTGACATCATATTGTTTAGTTTTATTTTTTAATTATTTATTTAATTTAGTATATTTTATCAATTGATTGGTTGAACAGGATGGGTAACTAAATTAAAGACATCTAACGGGAGAGAGAATACGGGACGTTTTTTAGGGAGGGAATCATAAAACTCCAACTATTTAGGTAAAGGTATTATTAAAGGTACTAGTAGGTAAGGAGTAGTTGTCGCGCTGTTTAATATGTAACTAGGGTAGCAGTAAGGATTGTTCCAATGTTGACACGGTACAAGGTTATTAGCAGTTACAGTTAGCCGCTTGAGGTCCTTGTGGTGCGTCGGTTAATCTAGTACCTTTTCCACCAGCACTCATTAATGTTGGATCCGTATCTAGACTATCAGACATTTTGTCGCAGATTATATCAACCAATCTTTCGAAGACAGCCTGTTAACAAAAAAGAAAAACAAATTATTAATTTTTGTTATAAAATAATATAATATAAATAAATTTTTCCAGAAAAATCTTCCACTTTGGCCAGAAAGAAACCCACGATCGCGATGGAGACTATACTGAACGTGCTGCTCCTAGATATTTTTATCAGGAAGGTGGTCGTGATGGCGTTGTTTCTACTCTGGAGTGAGGCTGTTCGTAAACAACCCCTCCTTGAAGCTCGCACTGACTACATCACACCTACTTTCTTAAACAGGCCACACTTTGGCATTGAGACGATACCCCAGAGCAACTTTAGCACAAGTAAAACGCTGACCATAGACACTGATGGATGACAGGAAAAGATCAACTCAGTTGCTGGGAAAATCAAAAAGGGCTCCTCATCCACTTCCTGACCGGACACTGCAGGTTATGTAAGCATATGTTCTACATGAATTGGCGAACACACCCTTTTGTAGAGTGTGGAAATGGAAGACGAGACGGTAAGTCATATTCAAACTGGCTTACTTAGGGGAATCCATTTTTGGATCCATGGCGTACCATGGCCTCAAATTTCGGACATAAAATACACCGTTCTGTTCTATATTAACGTTTATTAAAACTTTAGGCTTTTTTTCTGGCCCCTGAATGAACTGTAAATAGTGGGGATGTACAAAGGGTTTGCTGGGGCCTAAGTGCTGTGAAGGAATTCACCCCCACATGAAACCAGATACATAAATTTTGCTCTTTTAAATTAAACTTCTTAGACATTGGTTTAATTCTAGTTTGGGATAATCTTCTGTCATTGGCAATTTCTGGGTATTTTGGATGCTTCATTATTTTTGTCTTTATTAACTACTTGTATACTTTTAATAACACTCAAAGTAATAGCAACATTTTGGATCCAATTCGTAAGAACATAAATTAATAAACCTTCTTATATTAATATTTTCTTATAAAATATAATAAATGGTTTAATAAATTGGTCTTATTTATCCAAAATTATTTTATCATTCACTTATTTTAATATAAATTGATTTACGCGTCAATGTCAAGCCCACTAACTTTATTACTGCAATAACCACACAACATGCTCTCGCAACCTCAATCAATTCACGCTAATAGGCGACAACGCTAGTTCAGTTTACGGATAAGACATATTAACGAAAGTAAATTGTGATAAAATAATTACATAGCATGATATAGTAGATAAGCGGATTATCCCTTATTAGTATGTACAAAGAAGCTTCTAAACTGTCGTTTTTACAAGTTAAATTAATAGTTCAACGAATTTTATACATCATTTATGGAGCGCTATTTTCCAAGTATTTATTGATTAATATTTATATCTAATAATAGAATAACAAGGTTCGATCACAACTTCTTATGCAACACCCCATTTATAAGTTATTTTATTGTTCTATAAATTATTCCCAGTGTATTCGGATATTGATCGACGATAATAAATGGCAATTTCACTTTTGCTTACCTTGACATTGATGTTTTCCTTCGCACTCGTTTCAAAGAATTCTACACCAAGTTGATCGGCCAATTGTTTACCTCTTTCGAAACTGATTACGCGTTCGTCTTCCATGTCACACTTGTTACCGACGAGGATCACTTGGGCATTATCCCAGGAGTAGGTCTTGATTTGAGTGACCCTGAAAAACAAACAAACCGCGTCATTCATTCGATTCCGCCGGGCTTAAACTACCAGTAGAAAGTGTCAGGATTGAATAAAAAGAAGAAGAAAGAATTCGAATTTGTGTTACTTGTAAGATATTGATTTTCTGCCTCGCGAGACGTTAAGGACAAGCAATGCGTTTAAGAGAAATGGAACACCCAGTTCAATATAGGGCAGCAGAAACAGGGGCGTGCAACTAACTTCTCTTTATTTATTTATTTTTTTGCTTTTAGTTATAAACACTTACCAGTCTTGAACACTATTAAAAGATTCTTCGTTTGTGATGTCGTACATTAAAATGAAGCCCATAGCCCCTCTATAGTAAGCTGTGGTTATAGTTCTGTATCTTTCTTGTCCTGCGGTATCCTAGAAAATAACATATGAGTCAGTGCATGTCTTGAATAGACATCTACACAGACGAAATTGCATTGCGAACGTGATCAGATTTTCAGTAAACGTTCCAACACTTTCATCTACTGACAGATTTCGACCGCCTCATTGAAAATTCTGTGGGAGTAGGGCGTTGGCAACACAGTTTGAAAGGGTTGTGGATATTAGAATTATTTCGCTTGACTGAATTTCTTCAAACAACTTTTTATTATATTGATTTAATTAAATATTTCAGGTACAATTTTAGTTCTAATCAACACAAGTTCAATTTAATTAAAAATTGAACAAATTACCACTCACCCAAATTTGCAATTTAACACGTTTGTCGTGTCTGAATACGGTCTTAACTTTGAAGTCTATTCCAACGGTACTGACAAAGGCTGATGTAAAGCTATCATCCGCGTACCGAAACAGGAATGAAGTTTTCCCCACGGAGCTGTTACCGATTATTAAAAGTTTGAACATGTAATCGAAATTCTGGTCCGCCGCATCCTTTTGCCATTTAGGATCCGCTCCGGCCATCTACAACAAAGAAAACAAAACGTTATAATAACACTGCATCCTGCTGCTACGAGTTTGTTAAAGGTAGTTACATAATTAATTTCAACGTAGCGTTGTGGATGCATGGTGTGTACTAACTAAAGTTTGCCGGTGACGTTCACCTTTTTGCTCTTGATAAAGCTTTCGTTATCGCGTTACATGTTGATAAATAAGATAATAAGCTCTGCATTTATAATCGTTTTTGGATAAGTTTTGTTGATTAAGCATTATGGGTTAATAAAAAATAACAAAGGTTGTAAATGTTTGTTAAAATAGGAATTTGGGTGGATCTAAGAAATTGATTGCTTCAGAAGGTAATTCAAAATCGACGGCGCACCTATACTTGTTAAAATGATAGAAGGTGATTATGGCATGTTGTACTTGAAACAGTCAGTTTGCCTAGGAAAAAGACATTCCTCACAAAAAGAAATCAAAATATTGGTCAAATTTACTAAAATACATACATTCGATCTAAATTTACCGTCTTTGAATCTGCTGGGAACCTCATTAGATTTGGCAAAAGAAGATTACAAATTGAAAACAAAGAATAAAAATTTCTGCTGCTGTAAAGCATGGAGATGGATTTCTCGTTTGAGAACGTATGAGCGCCGAAGAAGTTGAAAACTTGGTATTTATTAGAAGTTGGAAGGGATTATTAACATATGCACTTGTAAATTTTGCAGGAACACGTACATGAAAGTTTCCAAGAACTTAAACTAGGTGAGTTATTTATCTTTCATCAAAATAGTGACCTGAAACTCACTGCAAACCGGGTGACGGAGTGGTTAATACTTAAACTGCAACATCGTATAACTTCTCAATCGTCGGATTGGGACCTTTTGGATCCAATGAATATATTACGCAGCGCCTGGAAATGTGTAAACTCTTCTTCAACGCTTTCCCTAACTTGACGTATCTCCAAAAAAATTTTACAAAATAACATTGTTTCAATTGCTGTTTCATTTATGATATATTGCAGTAAATTTTAGATTTACATTACTTCTATACTTTTGTGAGTTATATTAGGTTGTCCTTGATTCATTTTTGCTCTATTCATAGATTCTAGATTTCTAGTTAATCTATTAAAATCATTCCGCTGCTTATAAAAGACTCCTAACATAAAAGCCATAAAACTCAATCCTGCCATATCCAAACTAAACCCAATCTAAGCAAATCCAACCTAAATTAAGTTCTACAACTCACAAATCATGCATATCAAAGCGAATCCATATGATCCACAATGAAGTCGAACCCAATCACATCCAAAACCTTCGCAACCTAAACCACACAATCCACATCACGCAACCAAACCACACCGAATCCAGACTCAATCCAAACTACTTAAGCCAAGCCTAGACCATCCATATGGGTCAAACACAAATCAAATCCAACCTATTCGCACTCAAAACTAGCTTTAACTCAATACGACTACACTGGAACAAGAACCAACCAGCCACAAACCAAGCAGTACCTGTCTGATAGTACACACCTAAACCAAATACTACTTTTCCAAACTAAAAACTTTTTTTTTTTGATAATTAGCTTAAATTAGCAAAGTGTTATATACAGTTTAGACAAATTTTATAACAATGTATCACACCAATAACTGTTTTTGTTTTTCATATTTTCATTGTTACGCTGCTCGTGATGATGTAAAATAATTTCTCGGAAAATAATAAAATCCTCTTATAATTCGTGGCTAAACTGTTAACATGAACTTTTAGTTCGTGGAAAATTTTGCCTAAAGTTTTAATGAAAGGATTTTACAGTAGCGGAGCTTTAATTAAATCCGTTTAAAACCGACTGCGATAAACTTTTCCAATCTAATGTGTATTTACTTATTGCGTTTTATTTCACTTGAATGGTAAAAATGATGAAAAGAAAGAGAATCAGCAGTTATAATAATAATTACTAATTTTAATTAATCATTAGTCAAGGTCAGAATGAATACATTAACTTTATCAATTAAAAAGAGTACTTACGTTGTGGTTTGCAGGATGTAATTCAACTGTAAACATTTTTATATTGGTGAAATTTAAAGCTATGCTTGGAAAAATTGGAAAATCGACTCTAAAGTATTGGAAATTATCACTTTTTAAACGAACAGCGCCATATTTTTAAATGTATTTATAGACGTCCGTTGTTGATAACGTTTTCGACGTAACTAGCAGGTAAATTCCTGTTATAAAGTCATAGTTTTTGCTTTATTTTTAAATACTTTCAGTAAAGTTTTCCATTAATTTTGAGGTGAGATTATAAATCAAAATTCAAAGTTGTTAGCTATGGTAACTATGTTCTTTCACTCCATTTATTATAAATTTACTTAGTTATTAACGAAGCAGTAACAAACACTAGATATCTTACTACCACAACTTTACTTTTTAGGTTTAAAGGTATGTTTTACGTTCTTTATATTAAAAAAAATTATGTTAATAGAAAATGTTAATTTAAATAAAGAACTGTCTTTCCGTATTTGCTTTAGTACTTACATCGTGATGCCAATATCCCAAAGGGATTTCAACAAATGAAAGTAGTCTTGATAGTTTTCGAAATTCACCGGGTTCCCAACCTGAAGAAGAAAAAAACCATGCAATTACAACCCGCAGAACATTGGTAGGTAGTCCAATTAACTAAATGTGAATTCGATTGTACAGCGACACGCGAACACAAATTGACCATAAAATCGATCGATTTTTCATTTACAAATTATTCCCGAACGCACACAAAACATGAGTAAATGAATTTGATGTTGTACCGAAATCACTATCTGCGAGAACCATAACGTTGCAAGAGACCCAAGTGAGTCGTTTGTGTCGAAAATGGGACACAGAGGAAACGTGGAGACGCGATAAAATTCGGAATTCGATGTCACAGCGTATATCTGAGTTTCTCGTAATGTTTAAATTGAAATCAATTTACCTCCGTCAGCCATTTGACGAGATGTTCTTTTGAGGTTTTAAACGGAAAAATGTTTAATCTAAAATGACGAGGTTTCTCGTGTGGTGGTAAAAGTAAGAATTGATCAAGTTGTGGTAGTTACTTGCGGAGCGATAAAATAACGACGTTATCAATGGGTGACGTCATATTTTACACTACATTTCGTATGTTAAATCGTTTACTTAACTGTGCTTAAAATCCATATTAAATAAAAAGAATGCATAGAAGTTGCGTTTAATATTAAACATTTGACATCTCGATTTTTTACCACACAAAGAATATTTTTCTGTAGAAGAGATACGTTGATCGCATTATGATCACATGAAAACGAGATTAGGACAACAGAATCCTTGACCTACATTTACAAATTAATATTTTCACCCCAAATATTCACAATAGAAGGGTATTGGGTTTGCTTTCTATGTATTTTCGTTCCTCGACTTTGTGTTGTCTGACAAAACAATACCATAAAGTTTAAAATTTATAAAAGGAAGACTCAGCGCGACGTTTTAATTCTATTTAATTTCTACCAATATATTTCTCAAACGACTGTTGCATTTTAAACGCATTTAGACCACGAAATTCAATGAAGTAGATATTGAAAAGGAGGGCAATTGCATTAAATTTATAATAACATACAATTTTGTAATTTTACACAAAAAATATTAACATTAACTTAATACATCTCTAACATTAATTTCTCTGGAAGGAATTACTATCCGTGCCAAAAGTCAATGCCCCTCAGTTTAGAGATTGATATCTTCGCAATCGCTACGGTAAAGTTAGGTAAAGTTTGTTGCAACCACTGAACATTTCTACGTAACATATGTGAATTTGAACATTTTCGGTTTTGCGACATTCTTTATATCGTGAGTAAAATGAAAGAAGTACCCGATTTTTGAGGGTGCGGACAACTTTGTCCACTTTGTGATGTTTTTTTTCAAAAACTATCCGACTAAAAAATTTCAATTTTGAACAGATTGTAGCCTAATGTGTTCTTAATGAGGGGCATGTTTTATAGTTTTGCGGAAAATCGCGGTTTAGTAGGAAATGGCTTGCTGAATTTTAACGCGGTTTTAACCAAAATATGTAAATAATTGCGTTTGTCGAATCTGGTTATCAGTTTATCAAAGTCATGTCTCTCCAATTTTTATAGAGCGATTTACGTGAATTATAAATTAAAAAAAAAACAGAAATTAAAATTTTCCAATCACAAAAGATGAAACATTCCAGACTGGACGTTGCGCCTTTATTTTATCTACATAAAGAAATAAAGGCGCGACGTCCTATATGGAAGACCAGCACCATCTATTCCGATTGGATGAGTTAATGTGCGCCCATTATATATCTCAAAATAACTTTCTAGCCATAACGATAATGTGATAATGTTCTAATTTCTGCTCACTTTTTTAAAAGAAGTAAAGTTTGAACAGTATGGATAGGTTAAATTTGGGTAGTGATTTATTTTCTTTACAAACTAGGTTGTTCTTTCATTCGTTCTCGTTACCACACCAAAATTAGTAACCTCAACGTAATCAAAAATTGACGTGGGTGTAAAAATAGGCATGGATTGACATGACCTGTAAATTACCCGCTTGGGCATGCGGCCATTATTCTGGCATGCGGCTATACGATTACGGTGCATTAATATTAAAATTTAGTTCGTCATGAGACCAATCAACGCTGATCGGTCCAACTGATTAGTGGCCTCATTATATTTCGGACAAGTACGATAAAATAAAGGAAAAATACAGGTTTTTAAAATATTAGAAAATCAGAGATAGGAAAGCATCTCAATAATTGAGACATTTCCTTGCGGTAACTGGACGTTCTTATATACAGGCGATCTTATCGTTTCAAAAACAAAGGCCGTTGTACGAGTTAGCGTGATCGATGCGAACGCGCGAGGTCGTATAGAAGAAACCGCTTCGGGTTAGGTTGTTACAGCAGATGACATCAATTAGCACTACTCGCTGCGAAGTCGCGGCTATCCTGAAGCAGATCACAGATACTAATTTCAGTTGCGAAACTCGTAGTTGGTATTACGCTTTATTCGGTCACTGTGCTAATAAGTGCAAATCCTACTGTTCACGTAATTGGAGTTCGCCGAAATACTTTCCTGGGGTCTGTTCGTGACCAATTGGATAACTAAAACAGAATATTTTATGGACACCATCTTCATCATTGCTGTTGAATTTGAGGCCTTTACAAATTGTTAGCAGATGATAATATTACTGAAAGCCCAGGGAAGGGATACGGGAGATCAGAATGAATACATCTGAATCTATTAACGAAATCACAAGATCATTGGGAGTTCCGTAAGGTGTTATACGAAAAACCTGATGAAGCATTACATCCACACAACTTTATAACCATCGCATAAGGTACGTTACGGGAGCATATTGAATCTGGCTTTGCAAAACTTTCGGTGCACTTGTGTAGTACTACACCCTTATGTACAACCCGCGTGGATGGAAACCACTTCTTCCTATACAAACTTCGGACTTTGGAAAATTTGGCAAAGCAAAAGACAACGTTTTGAAAATGTCGATGTGGGTGTGATTTAAAGACACTGAAGGCAATTTCCTGTGCACAAGATTCATCATTGCGTTAATTTCTGGGTGTGATAGTTGATGAAGAAGATTGAGAGTGTTTGGATTTGAAATGGTTATAGATCCACCTACGACAGTGACTTAGACAGAATATTTTCTTATTCTGCTACATGACGTATCTCGATTTTCCACCATGTGGCGAAAGTACCTGATTGACCCTATAGTACACTTTTGGTAGAATAAACGAGTAAGTAGGGTTTGAGCCAAAACTATACAAAGAAATGCACCACATGCAGAAACATAAGTTAGAGAGACTAATCCGAAAAATCCTTCTAGAGATCTTGACAAAACACCATTGATATATAATAATAAATAAAGTTGTGACTAAACTTGTGATTTAACTAACCACTCAAAATACACTTTGAAATTTTTTATATTTATCTAAAGTTGGACACGAGAAAGGTTTTGTAACACAATATGTATAGTTATATATAGTATAGTATGTATAGTTTAATGGGGAAGTTGGAAATTATAACTTAAAGCTCAACTAGGGAAATTATTTGGTACAGTTTCATTATGATTGTTGTTGTTTGCGTGACTATTCTAAAAACATAAAGGGAATCTTTGTAACAACGTTTGTAGACAAAACTGGGTCACAGTTTCAGTAATTATTTATATAACATATCAATTTATAGAATTTGAATAAAGTCTGAATAAAATTATTCTGTATGAACAGTATATTTTAACTAAATTTTTATTAAACCTCATGCATTTTAAATGAACTCAAAAGCTTGAGATATATTTTAATAATGAATTTTAATAGAATACCGGAAAACTCACCATAAAAGTGTGGTTTTTCTTTTAAAGAAGATAAGGGGTATTGGTTACCGCAGCAAAAATTATTTCTTTAGTTTGTTTTTGGAACAAGATCTTTACAATAATGAACTCATTAAATAATAGCTCATTATCATTTAATATCATCCAAATTAAGATAAGTATTGTTTGCGATCCTCAAAAGCAATTTCTTCCCAAAAAGGTCAAGTCTAATATCAAACCACTTCTTGACACATTTGGAAACTAGCCAACATAGTTGTGAACTTCACGTCCGAATTATATTAACTGCCCAAATATGACATCTTTTTATCAACCAATTGTGGATATTTAATGAAATTTAAATTTTACTCATTACTTTTTGTTCTTCTTATTTCTTCTTTGAATTTGAGATGGTTTCTTAAATTATTTTCCAGTATATTAAGTGCACTAACTATTTCGTAATAATAAATCATTGTTTGTACATGTTACCATTCGTTTCCCGAATAAATCCTTTCGGTAAATTCGAGCTTTTCGTTTAATTACAACCGACAACTTGCGACAGCAGTAGTCGACGGTAACTAAAGCTCGAGCCCCCGGTGTTAAAGCTTAAGCTCGATAAACCACGGGAGACGTTGAATCTCGTCGTAAAATTTATGGATATACGAAGGATAGATTGCTGAGTGCACTTTTCATACACTATTTTACTGGTGTGCTTAAATTTATTCAAAAAAAGTGAATTCCTATAAGTTCACAGATATTATATCGAGAACTGTGATGCTATTTTTAGAACAGAGTTTCCCTGGCCACTTTAACAGATCGTTTTCACTTCGAGCTTTTAACCGCTATGTTAGAGCACTTTCTTAAGAAAGCTAACTAGTTAATTTGGATTATTCGAAGTAATTGTAAATCAATAATTAGTTTAAAAGAAAAGAAAAATATATTGTACAAAAATGTGTTTAACAATGGGAAGGAGTATTTTTAAAGGAAATTTTTTAGTGATACGAAAAGGCTTACCTTATTTTAAGTTCGTTTTAAATCAACAACTACACACTCACCACTAACTTTTTAACGGAGATTTTCAATAGAACCCTTACAGTAACGTCTGATAAACAAAATTTCGGACCAAGCGTCGTCGCACTGAACAACTTCCCACCACTGCTTCCTGAAAATCGATCAGCTGGAGTACAGTCAAGGACACAATTTTCAGAGCAAGCTCTACTTGAGTGCTGGGAGCTTTTCATTAAAACCTACATAATATTTCATGTTCAAACCCATAGAGGGCATATCAAAGCTTTTCTAATTTTTCACAATCATTAATAACATAAATATTCTTGTATTATTTATTTTATTTAGTAGTTACTAAATTTTATCTTTTTATATTGTGCAACATTTTTTGATACGAATAAATCTACAATCGTTACGTCACAACTTTTTATTGATAAGCATTTGCGACATAACATCGCCATCTAGTTGAGATTTTCACCAACATTAGGAAAATTGGAAAGTTCGCGGAAAAATTTTCAACGCCTATAGTTTCACTACTTTGTGTAAGGGGGCGGTTTGTTTATAAGTGGATTTCTGCAAAATTCTACGACAGTTATTTAATAAATAAAATAGTTGAATAATTAAATGGTGGACTTTTCGGATGACTTATAAATTATGAAGTTAAACTACGTCGATCTCGTTCATACTTTATCCAGCTTCCAGTAAACTTGACAAGAATATTTAAAGCTGTTGTTAAGATAAAGTTAAAGAACTGGAGGGAGCGTTTAAATTATAAATGAAGACATTTTTCACGAAATTATATTGAATTATGAAAAGATTTACTTAGTTATAAAAGATATTGATTTAATAGAGTAGTTTAATGTGAATGATATTATATATTTTAAGTTATAAATGAAATATACGATGTTTCTGTATTAAGCCGAGGTCACTTGCGGGCGAGGTGTTAGAGTTAATACCATGTCAAATGACTGTTTACAGTTGAGCAGTAGTGGAATGTCCTGAACACATACATAAAATAGCGACTTCAAAGAATTTATCAAAAAGAAACGTGATCTCTAAGAATCCGATTTTGGAAGGCGATTTACAAGACAAAATCAATAAGTTACTTTTAGAAGTATATTGATTGATAAAGCTGAAATTGCATCTTATCAAGTCTCATAATAAATCGCAAAAGATATGAAAGCTCATAATTTAGATGAGTTATTTATTTTATCTGCATGCAAACAAATGGTCATGACAATACTAGGAAATAAGGTAGTCCAACGATACTGGCCGTAGAGGTCTTCTGATATCAAGAAAAATGTTGCAATGCAATAATAAACTTCAGAATTCAAATTTTGCACTTCAAGTTAATGAGTCAACGGATACTGGCAATAAGGAGCAACTCATAGTGTTCCTTTTATTAATAAAGATCAAATGATCAGTTCCATTTTTGCAAAGAATTAAGTGTGTCACTCAGTTTTTGCTTGTTCCTTTCTCTTTTCAAGATTATTGAAACGAACGCAGGCGGATACAAAAACCTTTTTTTCTGCCATTGAACTTCTAAAAACGACTCTTTCCGTTCTAAGATGCGAATAGAGTTATATCTTCGTGATTTGATTTGAATATCTGCTACTAAAGCAGTAATCCTAGGAAGGCTTTGAATTCTGTATGGAGGAACTTGAATTCATCAAATTCAGCAATATCTTCCTGATTTATTTCTACAACCGCAACGTTTTCAACTCACATTAAAATCCAATTTTGGGTTTCTGACAGAATATCTTGGTTAGTCATGTTTTATGAAACATTTTAACAAATTTCACCAACACTTTGTATATCGACATATGAAAATATATCAAGGTTTTAAGATAAATTTACATGCTATAAAATTTTTTTAAACATATTTTAGGTTAAAATTACAATACCGTAATCGAGGCGTTTCGTATTAATTATTTAATTTCATTCTACGTCATTTCTAAGCTCTTAGTGTTCGTACTGGAATAGAAATTTCATTAAGAGACTCAGCGTTCCTCTCACAGCTTCGATAACATTGGGTTTCTAATCCGTAACGTTACCGAATTCTCAACGTCAACCATCCGTTCAAACGTGAATTTGTGGATTGCATCGTCTCAATGTGACCCATCCTGATTTGGACGAGAACTTCCCAGACTCCTTTCCTTTCCGTGTTTATCGTATGATGCTAGGTTTAGTCAATTATAATCAAAAGTTTGAAAATGTGGTTAACTCTTCCGAGATGATCGTAACTCTATCCAAGTTTATCGATTTATAGACCTAAAGTTAAAGTCGAAGTTTGTGAGTGTATATTGTCGTATTATGAGACGTGATAGCTAAGTTAGTTACTAACTTATAACAATGACTTAAACATAAATTATTTGAGAATTTAAAACTTTTAGTATGGTATTTTGTATAGCTTTCAATGTATTTTGGTATACAAATTGATCGTTTCTTTATCATTAAGTCGAAGTTGAGCAGTCAAAACAAGGTTGGCAGCCGAGGAGAAGGCAGCATACGAATTTCTTTTTTGCATTTCCACAACTTTATCGCTTCGTTGTTGTTTCGAAGCCAACCGCGTGCTTTTGATTTTAGACTTTTACTACCCGTTGTAATGCGATACGTTTATGGCAAAAAGAAACAACCGAGGCGAATCGACTTCACGACTCCATTTGGCAAGGAAATCAAAAAATCCATCTTCCCAGATGTACTCGTCTCGTAACGTTGCCACATACGATTTCGGCGGACGTTTTTATATAACTCGGAAGTTCGGTTATAAATTAAGTCTTGTAATTTTCTTAATTTCTACTATAAAATGTGTGTATTTGCTTTTCATTTAGTTTGTATATGCAATGCGCGCGAGGAGTTAAAAGACGGATAAATATTAACTTTGGAAATCTGCACATCGCGCTTTGTGTACGTTCGGTAAATATTTTTCTAGGATGCGCCCAAACCGGCCAGGAGCCTCCAACACTTGGGCTCAATTGTTGAAAATTTATTTATCCTGTCCTACTCGAAATGCAAATATCAGCTACTGCAAGCACCCCTATTATTCAGCTTACTTGTCAGTCCAATTCCCATTGCAATTTCAACGCTGAGATATAGTTGTATGCACACTTTAGAAAAGGTATTAATCTTCAAAATTTTCTACACAATAAATTACGAAACAATAACATTTCGTTGAATTCTTTTAGATTGCCGAATTGTTAAACATACTGCTTTTAAAAGAAATAAGCTGTTCAATCATTCTGGCAAGTATCTATTTTGGTGTGGAGACAATTATTGAGAGTACTTTCAAAGATTTCTTTGTAGCTTATTAAATTCTACATAAAACCAACAATTTTATATAAAAGATGTATTCTAAAGATGTTTTCGCAACGTTATTATTATAAAAGAATTTCCTTTTTCACTGAAATCCCTTTCAATTAAAAAAAAAGCCCACCCACAAAATACATTATGAAAAAGATTATGAATAATTTCATAATTTCCTTCCTTGATGGCATTTGCCCCTGTATAAATACATTATATTCAACCGGTAGCTTAAAATCCTTCCTTGCTTGTTCGTTGACCTGTTAAAACCAACCAACCCTCATTTTTGCGACAAGAACATAAACACCGGCGTCCCAAAAGTAAATAATTATTTAATTAAAACATCAGCGAAAGATTAAAGGTTAATTAGAAAATGATGATGACCGGATGTGCGCGGAAAATTTGAATGTGCGTTAGGCAAAGTGGAAGAGAATCAAGCTGAAAAACGGCGTGACGCGTGCGCAACGAACAACGCCAGGTGAGTTCGTCGGCGTCGCGACGCCTTCCCGCCACCAGTTAGTTCAGCTCCGGCTGCGGACCGATTTAACCGTCACGTTGGCGGCGGAACGGTGAGAGCGTCGCGATGCCAACACTACGAGACGTGCGCGCTATGACTTAGGTAAGGTTAGCCAAAAAAAGTAACCTGCAACTTTTATAAATTTTCTGGTAAATACTCCTGTTTAAACTAATCTTATCTTAAAAATTTCCTAAAATTTTTTTAACTTTTTTTTTTGTTTTTTCTTTTTACCCAACATTCAAATCACTCATTTCGAGAACTTATTTATAAGCGTTGCAATTTTAGCCACGTGGAGAGGTTATATTTTCAAAATTATGTAATGGAATAGGATTTTAAGTTATTATGTTAAAAGATATGTCCTTAAATTATGACTTAAACAAGTTATAAGTCTGTGAGCATAAATTTAATTAGTTGTAAGAAAATTATATTAGATTAGGAGTATTTTGTTTTGAAAGGTTGCTTTTAAACGGAACTTGTTATACAATAATACTTTATTAAGCCAAATATGATTTAAACTAAATAAACTTAGAATAACTTTTTAGTTAATCTTTAAAGTTTCTCGTCGACTGCTTCCTATTAGCAAGAGACGAATTTTGATCGATATTACATGAAATAAGTATTATTGTAGAGTATATGAAATCTGAATGTGTAAATATCAATATTTAGATTGCCATAAATTCTTAAAACAAACTATATAAAAGATTCAATGGATTTAATGGATGCCCTTTAAAGTAGTAATTATTAATGCTTACTAATAAATGTTATATCTCGAACTCGTAATCTCCCAATAAACTAACTTAATGATTGGAAATGTAATTGACATTAGTAAATTGGATTTCAATTTTGTATGCAGTTTAACTTTATTAAAGATTTTAACGACGTTATTGTATCTGTATCATTAGCAAGGAATTTAATTTCCTGACATCCTTGTAATATTTATTTGTGTAAAGTTTAAATCAAAACATTTCGCAACATTATTTCTCTAACTCTTCCTGATAATGTCATTAATTTTACACTTAACTAACAACTGGCCCGTACTTATTTGAAATTTGTGTGAAATTTGGCATACCTCACACAAACATCTGAGTTTGGCTGATGAAAGTGATAACTTTAAAGATATGTTAAAGATAATGTAATTCAGTGATGTCAGAACAGGTGACGAAAATTATTTCATCTAAATTACAACTATAAATTATAGTTGTAATTTCGAACACAAAAAAAACTTTATAATCGATAACTCTTTTTAATCATTACTTATTGTTAGCTTCGAGAAGAAGTGGGTTGCTTCGCGTTAAAGTTACCGAATAAATTTCCATATTAACATTAATAATAGTTGCGAAAAGAACATCACTTTCCTTGTAAAAGAAATTTATGATTTTGGAAGAAGTTGGAGTGGAATTAACTTATACGATGTTAGTTACCCATGAACTTATTGACGAACAATTCGATTCGAAATCTCTTTTGAATTCCGCTAAAGTATATGAAGATAGTACAAAAATTACATTTTTAGATGGTCATAACTCGTAAACGATATACTCGGTTATCAAGATTAATATGTCATTCGATTCGTCATAGTTTCTTCTATCAAAAACTCAAAATGCTCAAAATTCTTTCCTGTTAACCTTGTGCAGTCCTCAAAATGATAATGAAATGAGGTTCGATTCGTAGTTCGGAATATTTTAGAAAAAAAGTTTTAGTATAAAAAATGTGGAAAACTTTATTCTTAACAATATTGCTCTTTTACACTTTTGTTCTCAGATGCATCAATATGAGGAAAAATTCAAAAAGGTGAAAATTTGTTGAAATCGAGGTTTTACATCGTACTGTTGGTAGAGTACGGGATCCGGAGTGGTTTAGAAAAAAAGTTTTAGTATAAAAGTTGTAGCTAACTTTATTCTTAACAATATTGCACTTTTACACTTTTGCTGTCAGATGCATAAGTATGAAGAAAAAATTTTATTGATGAAAATGAGATGAAATCGTGGTTTTACATATTGTTTTTGATAGTGGATGAAATTTGAACGTTTTAGAAAAAAAGTTTTAGTATAAAAGTTATAGACAGCTTTATTCGTAACAATATTGCTCTTTTCCGCTTTTGCTCTCAGATGCATAAATATCAGGAAAAATTAGAAAATGTGAAAATTTATTGAAATCGAGGTTTTACTTCTTGTTGTTGATAGAGTGCGGGATCCGGATTGGTTTAGAAAAAAAGTTTTAGTATAAAAGTTGTAGCCAACTTTATGCTTAACAATATTGCACTTTTACACTTTTGTTCTCAGATGCATCAATATGAGGAAAAATTCAAAAAGGTGAAAATTTGTTGAAATCGAGGTTTTACATCGTACTGTTGGTAGAGTACGGGATCCGGAATGGTTTAGAAAAAAAGTTTTAGTATAAAAGTTGTAGACAGCTTTATTCTTAACAATATTGCTCTTTTATGCTTTTGCTCTCAGATGCATAAATATGAGGAAAAATTAGAAAAGGTGAAAATTTATTGAAATCGAGGTTTTACTTCTTGTTGTTGGTAGAGTGCGGGATCCGGATTGGTTTAGAAAAAAAGTTTTAGTATAAAAGTTGTAGCCAACTTTATTCTTAACAATATTGCACTTTTTTTTACACTTTTGCTCTCAGATGCATAAGTATGGAGAAAAATTGGAATAGATGAAAATGAGATGAATTGTGGTTTTACATATTGTTTTTGATAGTGGATGGAATTTGGAACATTTTAGAAAAAAAGTTTTAGTATAAAAGTTGTAGCAAACTTTATTCTTAATAATTTTGCTCCTTAACAGTTTTGTTGTCAGATGCATCAATATGAGAAAAAATCGGAAAGATCAAAATTTGTTGAAATCGTGGCTTTACATCTTCTTGTTGGTATAGTTTGGGATTCGGAACGTATTAGAAAAAAGTTTTAGTATAAAAGTTGTAGCAAATTTTATTCTTAACAATATTTATGTTTTACTCTTTTGCTCTCACAATGAGATACATAAATATAGAGAAAAATTCGAAAAGGTGAAAATTAGATGAAATCGTGGTTTTACATATTATTTTTGGTAAAGCATGGGATTTGGAACGTTTTAGAAAAAAAGTTTTGGAATAAAAGTTGTAGCAATCTTGATTGTTAACAATATTGCTTTTTTACACTTTTACTCTCAGATGTATAAATATGGAGAAAAATTTGAAAGGTGAATTGACTTGACTTTGTATATAACTCGAATTTAAATATGATAAATTTTTATGTAAAATTCTTTATATTACTACACTCTTTTTAAACACAACCACTTCAATTACCTACATTAATTAAATTTAGTAAATTTTAAAACTAAATTCGCTAGGTACCAATAACGGTGACTTTAGAAGTCCCCATAAAAACTTTTATAAGCCTTCATTAAGAATAACTTAAATTGCTTTGAAGTACCTTTCGGAACTAATTTCACTTACTACTTAAAAGTTTTTCTTTTGTATGTCTACTCAAAATTTTTAATTTAATCATAATTAAACATAAATGTTTCTTAGTAATTTATTATTTTCTTACTTCATTCAGTACCAACAATATTTCCCATGTAATATAGACGCAATTAATATAATAATGATCACAGCACGTGTTTACACCACTTATTATCTTATCGATCGCAATTAAAATTCATACTAATGGATATCGGATGTTATTCGTCGATTGTTTGTGCAGTACGTACACAAAGTTGTAATTTAGTACGCAAAGCTGAAGTGTGGATTTATTGCAAAGTAAGCGAAGTTAGTCTACAATATACAATCAATGATAAATGATCATTTCCATTAAATCACCGAAAATTATTCGAAATTCTGCAACCAAATTACTTAAATGTTTACATTTTGTAGTATTGTTATGAATTTTAATAACATAAAAAGCACATTTCAAATGTACAATTTCATTTGTTTGCTTCGTTTTAGTTGCACTTAAAACCGTCTTTTATTAGTTGTCCTTAAAATCCGTTTTATTTGCTCAGGAAGAAATTATTTTCGAACATCGAATAAAATTTTTTACGATCCAAAACGTTATTGGCCCGAGTAGATTTATCAGCATATAAATGTTTCACACATTTAACCTAACAGTTATTTTATGTTACGAGGATTTCTTTGTCGATAAAAATTTTTCTTAATGATGGGTAACATTAATCTTTTTAATTTTAGATAAGAAATTTGGGGACGACTTTTCCCATCGAATTTTTACGAACACCCGGAGCTTAATATGAAGTCAAACTGACGGGAAAAGAGAAATGTTAAAAGTTGATTTATCCCTCTTGTAGGTTTTCGTAAAATTCTCGTAAATCCAGCCCAGCTGGAATTTAAGGGTTTTCACAATTTAGTCGTTACTGTTTTGTTTGTTTGTGGACCTACATTCCGACTTGGCTTTATTTATAAATCACCACGAATCTACTTATTTTATAAAGACTATATTTCTAAAGAAATTTTATTCCGATGTAATCTGCATTTGACGTTTTAATTAAAAACTCTTTAGTATCTTCCTAGAAAAATTATTGAACTTAAGCTTCTCAGGCTTTTTTAAGCGAAAATTTTTTTTAAAATAAGAAAATGAACTTCAAGGGACTAATTTTCACTGCGACGTGTAACGGATTGTAAGTAACTCCCTATGTGGTCCTTTTCTTTTATACCCAATGGCAAAGAAGTCCGTGGTATTGTAGTTCTTGTCGAGGCGACTTAATTACAACAATGAAAGAGGATAGTTGTAGGAGAGAAATGTCACGGAAATTGTAGTCGGAAGTGTGCTGGGAAGTATCTTAACTTGAAACTCGGCGAGATTATCTTGGTCTTAAATCGAATATTTTATCCGTGGTTCGCTTCGGAAACCTTGTGGACGACAAAACGATAAGTCCTCGATTCTTTTCTAGTATTAGGCTTTCCAATCTAGATAAGTGAAACTTTCTTATAATTTGAAAATTTATCGACGTCGTCCAATTATGTAGGAGCTAAAGGAAAGTGCTGACCAATAAAATTTATTTAGAGACGGAAAATTCTAAAGTCCACAACGATAAAACACGGAAATGATCAAATATTTTTTCTCGTATAAAACGTGAATGAGTTTCGTAAAGTTTCTTGCTCTAAACTTTTGTGCACGTGTTCATCCATAAAACTTTGATCGACATTCCCTAAACACCAATCGATCTAAAATATTTTTCTCGTTTATTTTTCATCAGAAGACGAGATAAAAAAGGCGGAAAACGCAAACAATGGTTTTCCTAGTTTTTAGAAAATTTTACAAGCTTTGTGGATTTTTTCTTTTGTACCGGAAGCAAAAAATTGATTCCCGTACACAATAACTGAGTGACAAGCTCCTTAATTAAATTTCAAAACAAATGTGGAGATGCGCTCTTTTTAATTAAAAGCAGCACGTAGTATGTTTAATATGAAGAAAAAAAGAGGATTTCAATTTATAATATTAACGTTATTTTTATCGTATTCGCAATTATTCAACAAAGGTGCTTTTCCGTAAACGAAACCCGCATCAATTCAATCGTAAACTGTTAGATTGAATCGTGTTCGCGTTTTCGCGGCTTCTTTTTGTTACATCCTCCGAGGATTTCAAGCGATACGTGATGATTCGTTTTCTGGAAATAACGTTCTTGTTCCCATGAATACCTTTACACGTGCCGATAGACCGCATTATTCCCACATTCTTGTCGAGAACACAACACACTTTTACGCCGTTTTATTTTCGAACGGCTAAAATCTAAAACGTAAAAGTCGACGTAAATTTTTCGAAGCAGGAAATAAAAAGGCTTTATGGAATCGATAAAAATGAGGTGGATAGAATATGTGGTATTAAACAATACTTACAAGTCATTTTGGCCGTACATGAAACGGTTCCGTAAGTTTCTTTCCGCGTAAATTTCCGTTCTAAATTGCCTTCCGGTCGTATTCGTGCGCGGTTTTTCGTCCCGCAAAGTTCAGATTCGCTGCAGGCTGTACAAGAATGGCGTTAGAGTAATCCGGTTTATCCTGCACTAAAACAACGTCCAATATCTTTGCGAGAAATAATCTCCTGGTCGATTTTCTCGAATTGCTTCAGATTTGATATTGGCGAACATCGAATATTATTAGATTTCAAACTCGGGCACCGAATTGATATTCTCTGACCATTCAAGCTCTTTTTGTTGTTTTTCTTTTTTCTTAAACTCATATCCTATATCTTTTCAAAATAAAAATAAATTTTTATTTGTCAGGTCTTAAATTTTAGGTGAAAGTATTAAATTGAACTAAAACTAGAACTAACACTTGACCTAGAACTACAAAGTTTCAATTGTTGACATTTTCCATTTGTCATAATCTTCTTTTATCTACTTTTTTCTCTCTAGTACAGAGTTTTGCCAGTATTCTGCGAAGTATTTTCATTTCTTCTGTTTCCAAGATCCGTTTTGTTTTAGATGTATCAGGTCTAGGCTCAGTCATATAGATCATGATGGGTCTTATGGTGGTCTTATATATTCTCGATTTTGTGTTGTTTGGATCTTTTTAACTCCTTTTTTGATTTAATATACTATATGAGTTGTATATTCATTTAACATTACCAATTTTTAACTTTAATTACTTTATATTAAAATAACTAACGTTATAATTGGTTAGATCAGAACATCCTGTATATAATTAACGTATCTTTTTATAAATATGAATGAAATTCCAACGCATATATAAACATGATAACGTAGTAAATAAATAATACTCTAATGCCGAAACGCACAATAAGCAACAGTTTAATTTATACAACGACGAGAAGTTAAATCAGATCAAAATATACATTCGGACGCGTTGATTCCCCTGCTAAATAAACAGGGGCACATTTACAGATATAATCTGTGCGGTAGTCGAGCTGTAATGGCCAGTATAATCTTTCATTGAATCTCCGTTGATGGGCCCCGATGGTGGTCGAATTACGTTTATGGATAGGGTCATGTCCACTGGCTTTATGTTTGGGATTACTGCCGGACCGTACGGGCTTAAAATATTTGATTGACAATTATTTTGGTTCAAAGCCAATCTAGAAATAGGTGTATGCTCCAGGTTGTGCTTACCTCCACTACAATCTCGCACCAGACGGTGTCGAAATAAATTAAAATTTTATTTGTACGTCACGCATTTAACCGAAATAACAATTTATAAAACAAATCACACCGGAATTTTTATATTTTTATATCTTCCTATTATTACATAGCTCAAATGTTTAAATTTGTAAAAACCAATACTAACAACCTCTTGGTGGGAAGTCACATAAAAATAGAAGATTTAATTGGCTCTATGACAAGTACACTTATAAATGCGATAACTATGCGTTTGCAAATACTTCTTCTCTTAATCCCAACTCAACGAAGCGTTAAAATTATTTCGGTCCTGAAAAGTTTTAATTATTAAGTAAGTCTTAAATTTATGACCAGATTATAACGTTAAGATAAATGTGTTGGATCTAAACTGTTCCAACTAAAAATATTTAAAATCTATTATTCACAATTTAAAGTCATAATAAATTGTGTGAATTTTAATTGTTTCCAGAGAAAACTGTAAATTAGTTTTTGAAAATGATCACTTAACGAAAATTAGATCAACACATTCACACCCGACAATTAGATTAATTAATTAATTAAGTTGCAATATCGATCGACGAATAGTGAGTGGTTTACCTATAATTTCATTCTATCGGTCAGGCTTAACAACGCAATAAATCAGCATTCAATTGCACGCGCGAAATTAATTAAAACTAGGAAACTAATTACCGCAAAAATGTTATCTCATGGGAAGGGTCTGAGGACACGCCTGTTACTGGAAGTTTGACAAATTCACTTTAATGTAAGTTCGATTGGAAATTTTGAGGTTAATCGGGTTTCAAACTACAATAGATTCCACGGATTTATCACACTAGTAGACGTGTGAAATTTCAAATATTTCAGTTTAAAGTTTTACACATTTATTATCTTAATGGAAAAAATGCTGTGATTTATTAGCGAGATATATGAAGTAGAGGAAACCATAAAAGACCTATCAATATCGAGTTATGATCCATACTTGGCTTAATTAAATAGGAAGGAATCCACACATTTCCACCACACCCTGGGAAACCCTTTAATTGCATTCCCCAATCGAACTACGTGAGGCGTTTTAAAAATACAGAAACTGAATTGGGAAAATTCCATCTACACCCGCTGAGGCAAAACCTTCGAGACCTTTGTTTTTTCATCCGTTGTACTGAATGTAATTGGAAGGGTGTAGTGAGATCGAGAACGTTTTAGAGATAATAAAAGAACAAAATTGTAAACACCAAAAATTTTTAAAATACTTAATTAACGTTGACACAATTAATTTTAGTGTCTTTAACTATTAAAGTTCATGCTTCTATTAGTTAAGTTTTTAAGTACTAAGGAGTATAATCAGTTTTAATGCTGATCATAAAGACTTAGGAAGAGAAGTTATACGTAAAATGAGGTCTAGACTTATAGCATATCGTAAAAACTTGAATAATAAATCTCATAATAAATTATCTAGATACATTTATTTATTTATATCATTATTTTTTAAACAATCAATATTCACATTCACAAAACGAGAAATCAACTAAAAACCACTACTCATTTGTAATGTACGAATTGAATCCAATTGTTTTTGAAGGGTTATTCGAACGTTTTTTTTACCCGTTTTGAAGCGAATTTACAATCAATCTCATTAAAGTACAATTGGACTCAAACGCTCGTTATAAAGTTTCGTTCGTCCGGATGCGAACTTTGAACTTTGCGCGTGATTAATTTTTTGTGGAGTTACGCTGCATCGATTGCATTACGTTGAAAAAACAAAGCTGAAGTCCCTCTACATATTTTCGAAATGGAACATGTAAATTATTTTAAACCGTTTATTGTTTTGGTTGGTGAATGGGTTTTGCTTTGAAAAATATTGCTCGATTTATAAAAATTTCTATTGCAATATACAATAAAAATAAGAATTTTTTATGACCTTTATTTAGAATACAATCAAACGAAATTGTTTAAATTTACAGAATTAGAAACAATCGGGTTTTGCCGTACATGTCTAAAAACGGTTAAACACGAATGTTTCTAGTTGTATGTCTATGTGTTAGGTAGCGTTAGTTAGTATTGGATAGCGTTAGGTTGTATATTTCTATTGAACTAGAACTAACACTGGAACTAGAAACATTCCGGTTTAGCCGTACGTCTCTAAAGACGGCTAAACCTGAATGTTTCTAGTTCTAGGTCTAGTGTTAGTTCTAATGACAGTGTTAAGCAGCGCTAGTTAGTATTAGATAGTACAAGGTTGTTGTATATTACTATTGAACTAAAACTAGAACTAACACTAGACCTATAACTAGAAACATTCGGGTTTAGTCGTACGTCTGAAGACTATTATTATTTAGCGCTAGATTCTTGTATATTTTTATTAAACTAAAACTTGAACTAGCTCTAGTTCTAGAGCTAGAAACATTCGTGTTTAGCCGTCTTTAAAGACGTAAATATACCTAAATATATTGAAGTATTAAATAGAAAATAAGTAATAAAGTTTTTTTTAATTTCAGGTTTCTTAAAATGGGTACAACTAAACTATAACAACAGGCAAGTGACTAACAACAATACGAAGAGTAAATTTAGATCGTGTATTCAACGAACGTTTGTATTTCTTCGAAAGGTCAGATGATTGAACGTGCAAACGTGCGTGTTCAGTGCATAACAAAAAGTTGTTGATAATTACAAGAAAATTGGCTATTATTGTAAAGTTCGTCTCAGTATAATGTAAATATCAATGTTTTTAATTGTTCGTTTGCACGTTTTTATTTTAATGATCTGAAGTTAATACTTTATCCGTTATGAATTTATTACATTTGTTATTAATAGAACGTTAGAATAAATAGTAGTGAGTAATTCCTCTTTATATAAATTGTGGATGTTAAAGCCCCATCGGAAGTGTTTTTGTAGTGTGTGGATGTGTAGCCAACAAAGGAGCTCGCGCATGAACGCTCTTCCGCGATGCGTGTGTCTACGAGAGCATGTATGTGATATTCCCGGCCGATGAAGTAGTTTACCTATCATACGGTCGACTTATCTACGTTTCGAGTACACCCGAAGTTCGCGATCCTCAATTAGCTCAGTTACAACAACATTTCCAATTTGTCAACCAAGATCTCCAATCCTCATCGTCTCAGGAGGCCCCAACAAATCAACCGAGAAGCAGTTGCCAATCTACAGGAAGTCACTCTAGCGCCCCTTCCACTAGCACTAGTTCTAGTAGGAGCTTTCGCTCCGTTCATAGCGCTCCTTTTCTTACCCAAAGCCATCAATCAAACGAAAAACTAACACCACCGAAACAATCTAAAAGCAAAGACGACTTATCTGAACGGCCACCAGAGCGTCCGAAACGACAGAAGGAGAAGAATTCGGGGTCGTTTTTGAGGCTTCCTACCCGAAAGAGTTTCCACATACGGAAAAGTGACCCGAGAGATAATAGGAAGTTGTCGTTCTCCGATTTCGCTCGCACCAACAATAGGGATTTCACGCTGCCTGTACCATCAACTCCCGTATCAAGTGCAGACAATCGACCAAGAAGTCGAGAACGTAGTCCTAGAGGGTTAGAACCAGGTCGATATAAAACTGAATATTGGGACAACAAGCTGCCAGTGGCTGTGACACAATATCCTGGGCCAGGTGAACGCCAGAGTTATTTTCGGATGACTAACGTACTAATGTGCCTTTGGTTTTATTTACTAATAACCTCCAATAATAAATTTTCCTAGACTTATATCGTATCATATTTATATATTGAAAGTCGTTGAAACGGTTATCAAAAATGTTAGTGATATTTTCAAGGTTATACGAAGGTCAAGACCAATTTTTTTATATTTTTAATCAATCTATATGTCATTCGAGCATGGATACTCACTACTAAATATCGCAGAACAAAATCAAAGTGACTCTATACCGAGATCGTTACTATGCCTTTCAAAAGTCCCTAAAATTCTTTAAAATTCACAAATGTTAAAAAGGTGGGAACATTAAAAAGGACACTCTGAACAAGCGTAACTGTTATAGGAAGGGTAAATTGATATATTAGTAAACTTTTTCTATAATATGTATTGTAACCTGGGTTGTACAGGATTACACTTGTAACGGAGGTCGCTTGCTGCCGAGGCGCTACATTTGATTCCTCATGGATACATAGTTGTATCCCATATATTGCAACGCCTCTAGTGCAAGCGACCTCGGCTTAAATCATACATTTTTTAAGTTCAATCGAGATCGTTTGCGGGGGAGGAACTTTAAAGTATGTTGTCTAATTTTGTATTGAAGTTGTATTAATGCTAGCGCTTCGGCCAAGCTTAATTAAGCGCAGTTATATATTCTTTGTTTTAAGTTTAACCGTGGTCGTTTTCAACCAAGGCCGTCTTTAGAGACGTACGGGCTGAATGTTTCTAGTTCTAGGTCTAGTGTTAGTTCTAGTTTTACTTCAATAGAAATATACAACAACCTAGCGCTATCTAAAACTAACTATCGTTCGAAGCAGACTTCGAACATGTTTCTGAATAAGGTTGCGACATAAATTTGTTTCCACTATCATCAATTGAAATGGGATTATCGGAAATTTAAGTTACCAAGTAGCATTTCAAGTTTCATATAGCATCAAAGTAACCACATCGTCTTGACGTCTGTTAGGTTAGAACTTTCACATGCATAAATAAGATAGTTCCATTTTGGCTTATTTCTCACTTAGCTTTAAATACTTAATTAAAACGAAACAAATTTTCAAATTGAAATAGTTACGTGATGAAAATAATATTCCAAATACGCTGACTACACGATATTCAAACTATACAGACGCCAAGTTTACCTTATGCATATATAAATTTTCATCGGCGATATTCCACATACGTTTCATATTGCTTGCCATAAATTCGAAATGTCACCGGGAGATTCCGGTTTATTTTTAACATTACATAAAATGCTTTGTACCGAGTGCGCATAACAACAAGTGATTCTTACGGAAGGTGCAGATCGCTTCTTTTTTAACACGTTTTGAGTATCAATGTCAAAGAAAGGAAACGGCAATAATTTGGCGTAACAATTATTTTGGTTGGACGAGTCGAAAATTCGGAAATTCGAAAACAAAGCTCGTCCCCACGCAACACTCACAAAGCGGAGACAATAATAATAAAATTTATTTTGAGATGAGATTTCGGACGGTCCGCTCTAGAAGTGATTTTTAGATAGTTGCCAGCACCGTATCTCGCGATACAGACTTTTACGAAAAGTTTTCAATAATTCTTATTGCGGATTTGTGATTTTTCAATATTAATATGTTCGTGATTGTTTGCTTAACTTGAAAAGTAAGTATTATAAAAGTTACATAGTCTGAACTCAACTTCGTTATCAAAACAATCAGTACTATCTTAATAAGTTAATTACATAAGAATATAATCCGTATATAATCAAGTTGATTGATGATTAAACATGACTTTGGTGTTAGTTAGCATTGCTAAGGTAGTTGGCATTAAAATAAACCTTACTTTCAATCAGCTTGAAAACGATGTTTGTTATTTTTATGATTCACAATTTCTATGAGTAATGTTATTACTTCATTACAAATTTGTTTTTGTTTCTATTTTCTACGGAAAAACAGTTTTTTGTTATTGACACGGGGTCTGCAATTTTTAATACCTCGTAAACTCAATGTGTAAACTCACTTTTTTCTTGTTAAAATTAGCTTTTGTTTTGCATCTAAAACAACAACAAAGTAATGGACCGGAACTACGGTCTTAAATCGGTTATAGCATGAGGTTAAAATCATTGAAATTATTAGTATTGGCAATAGTCCAAGGTAATCAAATACTTTGTTTTTTAATAACGCTTCTTCCAATGAAATAATTAAAATCTTTAATGATCAAAAAAGAACTTGATCACGAGCCATATTCTTAATTGGAGCACCTTTTAGATGGAAGGTGCAATCTTATCGGAAATTTGATTATTCAGCATTATCCTAGGTCTTTATTGATGCTTTTCTAGATTGCTTCATCAAGTTTTATGAAATTTCTTTTAAATTTAGTTGAATACTTGGAATTTCTCAATTAAATTATTTGATTTAAGCAAACAAATTAATCGTTGTTTACAAAAAAAATTCGATCTAAACATATTTAGTGAAAGTTGGGTGGTTAGATTTAACGGGTACTCGTTTGGCAAAAGATTCGATAATAATTTTAGATGGGAGCTTAGTGTCTACTGTTGCCAGACGGAAAATATTCGTATAGCGAGTAAACATTAATTTTTTGTTTTCACTAATGATTTTAATCGCCTAAAAAAATGAATTAATAATTGATAATTATTTGCAGATAAATCTCCCCAAGGGAGGAAGAAGGGTCTTTTCGGTAGCGTAAGACACCGAAAAGCTCAAAACACAGCGGAGATGGCCGCAAATGAATCTCCGTTAAAAGATCTCATCCATCCAAGTTACAATGACCACCTCAAGACACACAACTCGGTCACGTTCAAACTTGTTCGAACCGGTAAGTGATTTTGCTTTTGAAGTTTACGGTTAAGTTCAGGTTTTATTGCTGGGAAACTTTACGACCGTGTGAAATTATCGTGCGTGTTAAATCTCGATTTCTATTCGAACCCCGTTTATGTTCTTTGACGCTTCTCTCGTAAGTATTTTCATGCGACAGGATTTTCCGCATCTTGCGTTCTGTGCCAAGGTTATAAATCAAAGGGTATAAATAATACGATACATTTAAGATATTGTCTGCCAAAGAATGAGTCATAAAGCTTTAATGTGATTTCATAAAAATTAATTTATTATAAAACATTTGTTAAGATGTGTAGTTGAGGGTACCAAAAAGAACTTTCTTATTCATATATTAAGAAAATAGGTCGAAAAGCAAACAGGATAGAAATTTGGGATCACACCGTTGGCGTTCGTTCAAGGCTAATTTATGCAGTGGTCAACATAAGAATTTCCGTACGTCATTGTGGAATATTGTGTAAGAATGGCACACGTTTTTGATCTTGAACCATATTTACTGTATTCTTTGTTATGCCTGTATTATTCCCGGAATTTATAATTTCTAATGAACGATCTAATACCTTCCTGCCTCATTTTTACTGCTGAAGGATAAATTAAATAACCAACAAAAGATCACCGTAACGTGACTGTTTAACAGTTTTAAACACGCAAACCCTTTTTCAGTAAAGTCAGTATCAGCTCGTTGAATCTCAATTACACGGACCAATTATGTTGATCTTTAAACGGTATATTTTCTAATCTTGATTTTCTATTTTATATTACTGGTGAATACAAAAAATTGTAATAAACAAATCAAAATACGATGACGGTATTGAAAATCTGATCTTACAGATATGACGCCTCATTTGCCCATGTATTTTAATAATTCAATCTTTCAATCATTCTATCGGTTGATTTACGATAATCGAGCTCTCCATGATTCATTATTTTGTGGGATTTTAACTGCTTTATTTCGTTAACTTGAACTGCTTGTATAAATTCCATTAGCTAACAGTGTCTTCTGCAGTTTAACAGAATTAAAATAGTTATCTAATTAATGATAATCGTGGACCCCAAAACTTATTGTGTCTAGATTTGGAAGTTAAATATGATTTGGAAACCACTGCTTTATTTGCAAAAATCGCATGAATACTCTTGGGATAGATCGCTCCTCTCCTTCCTAACTTAAAATATTTCTGAGTAGATCTATTAAAATTCATGATTCTTGCAAGCGATGTTGGCTTAGGATTACGCAGCTTGATGTATGGATTTCTACTTGGAAAACCATATAACCAAGACGTCTTCTTCAATATATTTTCAAGAGACTTTTTCAAAACCTTATTTTTTCTTGTTTTGATTAAATTGATGGTCCGTGTGATTTCGCTCTGCCAATTCAAACGCCGAAGTTCTGAATGCATTTAGTGTGAAACCAAATAATCGTGATAGCTGATCATATTGCTGAAATGTTCTAGAGATCGTTGGTGTGTGGCGACACAATTTTTTCTTCCATGACACTTTGCTGTTATTTTACAGTGAAATCCGTGATTAATCGTCACACACGAGTGGTAATCTAGGATTGTCATCTCCAGCTAGCCCTAGCCATAGAGAATCGACATTAAACTTTTATAATTAGAAAATAAGCGCCTCACCCGCAAGCGACTTCAGCTAAACTTGAAACAGGCAGTGTAGTATTGTACTTAATTAAGCTGAGGCCAAGGCGTTTCTATACCAAATCGATACTAATGTGTACAACACCTTGACTAATATTAGAGCGTCGATTTGACTTTCCCTGATTAAACCGGGGTTGTTTGCGGTCACGGCTCTACAATAAATGTCATATTAACTGGTCAACACGTAGTAACGCCTCGGGGGGAAACGGCCTCGGTTAATATTTTAGCGCAAAATAACTTCGCCTGATCAAGCCGAGGTTTGTTGCGGCCGAGTCTCTATAGTTACAGTCATATCAAATCAAAATTTGTCTACATATTGCAACGCCTTGATTACAAACGGCTACAGCTTCATAAATTGCAATGCTGTATTGTATGTTTTGAGCTTTAATCGAGGTCGGTTGTGGTTAGGCGCCGCAATATGCGTTGTTCAATTTAGTATCGATGTGTATGAATCTAACGGTCGGTTCATATGATGATTTTTTGACATGTCATAGGCACGAGTTAAACGCAACAAAAGCGTTGCTCAGGTTGATGGGACGTAAACAATATTTGTTTTCTTTTGAAGTTTTACAACGTGAATACATTGACGGCGCCTAAAAAGTCGTCGTGTGTATGGGTCTTTACATCAACAGTGTCGTTAATAAGTTTTTTATTGTAATAGAAAATGTAGTTAAGAAAAAATTGTGAAAAATTAAATAAATGTAATTTTGGTAGTATAATTTGCCATTGAATAATGACTCATAACTACCTAGTTTTGGAACTAAGTTTTGGAATTTTTAAAAAGTATTCATTAGAATTTCAAATATAGAGTCTCCAGCTTTCATAACAATCCATTCTTTTATTTTTGAATTTCAATCAACGACTGTGTATACTCTCTTATACTGTGGATTCGTTATTCGTACAATAATAACGTCGAATTTGATTTGTTCTGAATGACATTCAATTTGTCTATTCGCAGTATGCAATAGTGTTGAATTTGAAACTGGCATTAAAATGTCTGTTATGACAGAAGTTATGGCACGTTGGCACGCTGAAATTGTCCTGAAAAGCATTCGCGGTATTCCATTTCGAAACTACTAGTTACGCGTGTGAGGGTGAGTGAAGGTCAATTCATTGCACGCTCATCGGGTTTTACTAAAAACACAACCCGTGTGTTTTCAATCCTAATCGAATAAACATAGAAAGGATGTATGCGTGTGAATATCACGGTATCCACTTTTCATATATTTTTAAAATAAATTTTCTGCATTTATATAATCAAATTCTTTAATGTCAATTTGAGTATTTTTATTAAAAAAATATTTTAAAGCAAGTATGTTGTAATTTAAGTTTAATTTTGTGGGTTGTATTAAAATAGGGAACGGGTCAATTGTAAAATAATTTGTATAGATTTGATTTTATTCATATTAAAATTATTTGAGCGTGCTTTAATTTTGTGTGTCAATTAGTTATTTTGTTTGAAATGTGCTTCCAATAAGCATTTTACAACGAAGCAAACCGCAATGATTATGCTAAACATAATCAATACAATTGTTTTCGAAAACAATAGGTTTGGATGCTTAACACAATACCTCACTTCCAAGAGTTACCTTCATGAAAGCTCTCGAATATGCGTAATATTCTGGTCTGGCAAAGTTCGTCTTTGCAACTACGAACTAATTAACATCCGATATTTGCGTATTGCTTTAACAAACCGGGGCCAGGTTTGGCGAACTCTACTAAGCGCAGTATAATACGTTGGTGGCACTTGTTGCGCCAAGCGGATCGATAGTGACCTCAGGTGCAAAACATGGCCGTATATGTCATCTAATATGCACTCTGAAAAAATATTGTGTATTGGTACTAACACTCATATATGTTTTGGTGTTCATTAAATGTTATGGTATAGTGCGATAAAAAAAATACAAAAAATATTTGATATAACGTTCTCAGAGGTACATTAAAGCCGAGTGAAATATTATGTCGTTCCCAGTGGTGTATCAACATTGGGGTGCTGTATTGGAGTCGAACAAACAAAGATTTAACTCTGATGTCCTGACGCTTTATGTAAATACCACTTTAATAAATAACGGTGATACATGGCTTCACATCATATTTTATAACAGATACATTTTTGGTTGCTATATTCTTCTATATGAACTATTACCTTACATGGTGGCGAATATACATAAATTTGTTATATATAACAACAATAAAGCTCAAAAAAAGCAAGAGAACATGCGAATATATTTGTGTTTGTAAAAGTGTCCATTCACGTTGTTGTTTTTGTCGAAAACTTTATCTTCATTACCTTGGTGATGTGCATTTTCCAAGTAACTTTTTTACTGTTTTTTTTTACTTTTTAGTTTTACCTCTTCTTTTATTACTTATAAAGATACTCTTTAGCATAATTAACATATTATCTTTTTGCTATTTTTTACATAAATGAAATTACTAGTCATGGAACGTAACGTAAGTTGACCGTTTAACACTCGGTAACTTTGCCAATTACCAAAGTTCAGAGCGTGTCGTCGAATATTAGCAAGACTTTTCGAAACGAGTAACAAGATTGTTCAATTAATCGAATAGACGAAGTATATGCATTATCGATTCAAAAGCAAATACTTAACAAAGCTTTACAAAAAAAGTTTAAAACAAGAAGCTAGATTTAAAAGACTGTTGAGGTGTTGTTCAAAATTTTTGAAGCTATTTGAATATTCATAACTAAGATTAAAGGCCAACTCGAACGGACGTAGTCGTACTCCGTGACAAAATTTCCATTTTCCAATCTAGTCTAATCAAAGGGACCACATATTCAACTGCCAGAAACAAACTGAAACTTCTTCAACTCCATAAAATACTTCCGTTTCTAAAAGTGAACATATAAACGAATGTCTTGTTTTAGTAAAAACCACGATAAGGTGAGGTTAATGGTAGCAGTGACCTCGTTATAAAAAACGTCGACGTCGAGAAAGTTGTACAACCACCCAGTATTGATTTTACGAAGTTCAGGAAGGCACCGCACAATATAGGTACCAACTGGAAATTTATAACTGGGTAATTGATGGAGTTGAAAGCTTTTGGCATAACTTGGTGTCGACAATTTTTTTTTCATTGAACGCGTCAGTCGCGTGAACAATCAACAGCTGTCGATTAAGCTTTCAAATTGGAACAAACAGTACGTGTATTATCCCATTTTCTCTCTACTATTAAGCTTAACGTATTGCTATATTGATCGGAAACCGTGAATTGTAGTTTTATTGTTAATCAAATTTAATATTGATTGAAGCGTTTTATAATGCAACCTCATTTCTCAAATGCACGTTTTTTAAGCTGCGCTAACACGAAACGAGAC